TACCTACTTAGATTTTTTTTAGGTATTTCTGGCAAAGTTCATTCTATTGATGCCAATTAAAGCTAGTAAAAAATTAAGCTCTGTGTTCCCTGTATTGCTTGCAAAACATCTACTGAGAATTTTAACCTGACTTGACTTCTTTTCTGTGGCTCAGATACAGCATAGAATATTATTCTGTGTTTTGTTCTTCCTTGTCTATAAAAATGATGGTAACACTTCTGCTTAAATAAATACGCTTTGTGGTAGGTAGGATTATTACCAGCTAGATGAATGACATAATGCATTTCTTCAATTTCACTTCAGCCTCCTCTTCTTTTTTCTTTGTGAATTTTCACTGTGTTCTACCCAAAGCAATTTTACATCCTAAATCTCTCCTAAAGGTTGATTCTCATCTATGTTCACTGAAACTCTCTTATAAACCTAACAATTACCTGATAACAATTTGCACGTGCAGCTAATGGTAAAAAAGCTCTTGCATTCAAAAAGAAATGTGTGACACCCCAAAAATCCCTGGGCAGGAGAAAACGTGGTTCATTATTCCATTTGGCTGTAGGGACTTTTTGTCTCATATTGACAACCTTTAGTGTGATACAGCAGATGTCAGTGTATTTTGTTTATTATTTTGAGATTAAAAACCTTGTTGTTTTGCTGTGTAATGCAGATAAGATCTTAATGGTTTATGTTTAGATAGTTTAATTGGCTCAACTGCTGGGCAGGAGGAGCAGCAAGAGCAGTTTGCAGTTTGCCTGACCCTTTTCTATCAGATTGAGGTATTATTATGTACTGTACTATATTAAGCTTCATCTGGAAAAAAGCACAATCTGTTCTTTTTAAGCTTCTTAATAGTTTCTAGTACTGATTCATTGGAAGTGGAACTAACAGATTGTTATAGTTAGACTGTAGGTGGGGACGCATATGCTTGAGTTTTGAACAAAATTCCAACTCTGAAGCAGGCATAAGTCTTTTGCATGATGACATAATCAATTTTTTTTAAACATGCAGAGACATATGGGAGTAGCTTTTGAACTGGGCTTAGGGCCAAACGTTCAGGTAAGCAACATGCAGGATTCAGGCTGGCATTTTAAAAGAACCCAGCTGCCAGTTGTTTCCATGAGCATAGGACATATTTACAAAAGCCATCAACAGCCAGCAGCTCTGATTATGCCACCAGCAGAAAAACTTTCGAGAGGACATGAACATCCAGTAAAAACTTGTGATACCTCCTCCAGCAGAGCCAGTCACAATATAGAGGTGCTGGTTTCCAAACACTGAAATGGAGATGGAGTTTGGTTGGGGAGGAGGAGCTGAATTGACCATACTTCCAGGTTGTGTTGTTTGTTGAGTCTTTTCTGCTGAACTGGAACTAGCCAAGCAGAAGTAAATCAATCCCTCCTTTCTGTTTAACTTTTCCTTAGGATCTTTCTTTAAACTTAGAAACAGAAACAAAATAGCTACGTGGATAGATTGCCAGGACCTAGGCAGCTTCCATCACAGGGGACTCATAGAAGACGTTGCTTTGGTTCCAGCGTAGGGCTTCTGAATTAATTTTCACTTGGAAGTGAAACTACAGACTCATTCTCAGAGTCAAGCTGCATAAGTCCTCACCTTGTCCATCCATGTGTGCAAGCCCAAAAGTCCCCATATCCTTCTCCTTGTGTCACAGACCTGGCTGAAGAGCGGGAACTGCCCAGTCAGTGGAAACTTGCTCTTGCTGTGGCAATTTTAGTAGTACTACTGTGGAAATGCCACAGTTCAAGAACCAAACGTCCATGAGGAGCCCAGTTCCATATAGAAAGCATGGAGATGCTCTTCCACTGTGAACCTCACATCTCACCCTCAAGCAAATGATGTAATGTAACTTACCCAGTTTCCTACTCCCATTCCCTCAGTGCTACATGTATACCTTCATGTATAGGCCTTTATGGCCTCAAGTTGCGCCAGGGGAGGTTTAGATTGGATGTAAGGAAAAATTTCTTTACTGAAAGAGTAGTTAAACATTGGAACAGGCTGCCCAGAGAAGTGGTTGAGTCACCATCCCTGGAAGTATTTAAAAGACGGGTAGATGAGGCGCTTAGGGACATGGTTTAGTGGGCATGGTGTTGTTGGGTTGACGGTTGGACTCGATGATCTTGGAGGTCTCTTCCAACCTTAATGATTCTATGATTCTATGATTCTATGATTCATGCACGTACAGTTTTTCCACAGAAAGAAAGATAGCTCAGAGGAAATTAATCCTAGTATGGTGCAAAGGACTTTAGCAGAAAAGAATTTATTTTTCTATCAAGGAGTGTTCATTATCCCCACAGTATAGCTCAAATTAAATATACATACCTCATCAAACTTCTTGCACAACAGGGGAATTTACTATAAATAATTAATTAAGTAGAGTTTAATCAGCAATGATCATGACAAGAGCTCCACCAGTGTATTTGTATGAGTGTCTTGAAGCAAAGCTGCTTTCTGTTTTCATCAAATCTCTTGAGCTCATGCCATACAGCTATAGTTTTCCCAGTTGGAGAACTCAGTCACTCTCAGATTTGGACTGCCAGGATGTTTTTCTTCCAAATGTTAAAAACGTAACACTTTGCTAAGTGGCCTTGGTAATTTAACATGTTTCCTCTCATTTTGGATGACGCATTGCTTTCTGTATGGTTTCACAAAATCTCCCTGTCTTGATACATGATGAGTCCATGGCATTTATGCCAGGGTAACCTTTATTTGACTGGAAAAGAGTTAATGCACTTTGTGTTCATTTCAAGACCTACTGTTTTTCAGTACTGTAATGAAACCTATTCTCAGCTTTATAGCAAGACTCAGGGTGTTTGTATGTTTATACGTTTGTATGTTTATAACACTTTCAAACAAAGAGTGCAGTGTCTGGAACATTGAAGAGATCCAGTTCTGTAAGACCTGGCCGTGAATTTTCCATTGACAATTTTTTGACAGAAAATGAAGTCTTTGGAATTTCAATCTCTTTGAGATATACTATAGAACAGCTTTTCCTCAAACTTCCATCTTCTATGACAAAGCTGGATATGATTTTTTTTTTCCTTTTTATTTTCTGTTAGGAAAAATGAAACACAACATTTAATGTTGATCCAGATTGACTTAAATGAGAATAATTTTAAACAAAGCAGTGTATTTCCTGTCAAACAGCTTAATTTTATTTTAGATGGCCTCAGGGCCCAGTGGGAGTTACATGTGGCTGACCCCCATTTTTCCTTCAGACTGACTTCTGAGGCTATAATACATCTTTCATGAAGCACCACATTTTTGACCTCTAGCTGAACTGTTTCAGCATCTCATGGGAATCACTTGATGCTCATGTATCACAGGAAACGTAGTTTGCCCTAAGAGCGTGACACATGGGGAAGCAGTAGGCACATGATTTACAACTCCCAGGAAGCATTGCAACAACTGAGTTTAAAAATCGTATGACATTTTGTCCAGGCACAATTTGCATAGTAATGTTTTTTCCATCAGGCCTGATCACAGCAGGGAGGAAAATGAAAGTCATATTAGCTAAGGAGATCTGCATTCAAGTTGCCATTCTGGTTGGGCACCATTTGGAAATTTCAAGGTCTCAGTGATTCATTCCTGATGTGAAATGTAGGTAACGCTATTTCCTCTCTTCTGCTCTTTGTTTCTTTCGGCTATTCAGATAGTAAGATCTTCAAACTAGAGACGGTGTTTTTCATGTTCATGTGCAGTGCTGAGCCTAATACAGCCTCTAAACTCTAGCACCAGAAAGACAGGGACGATTCCCTAGGTGGGCAAGCTGAATGCTTGGTGGCTCCAATGCCCTAGGTCACAAAACCAGATGACAGCCCAAATCCAGTTGTCTGATTCTTACTGCATTTTCACCTTCAGAGCTTTTATATACTTGTAAATATGCTGGTAAAAGAAAACATTTTCCTTACAGATTCTTCCATTTGCAAACTAACAGAAATAAGTGAAGGACCAGCAGTTCCTTGCAAAAGCATTACTTTAACACTCTCACTTTTATTAATTTACTGACTGTGTTTCTATGGAATATTATTGAGGGGTTAAAGCAATATTTTGGAGAAAAAATTCCTGTCTCAAAGGCCTTCTTATTTAAACGAGACATGAAACAGATTTAGACAGCCAGATGGAGGAGCACAGGGAACCAGAGAGACAATCCTGGTCAGGATGATTGTCAGTGGCATCAGTACACCCACTGTTCAAGCACTGTGGCTTTTATGTAGGCCTAGCAATGAAGAATTTTCCATGGTGAAACAGAATAAAAAACAATAAATGTATCTATTTGTTAATATTTATTATCAGTTTATCCCACGGGGGAAGAATAGAGAAAGAAAATATGAAGTTTTTCCTGTTGGGTTGGTAGATATTTAATTTAGAAAAAAACAACACAGAAGTACAATTAGTCCATCTGTGATCCTGTGGTTTCTGTAATGCTAATCCTCAATTATGCCATTCATTCTCCCGAGTCACCAGAATTTCTTTCTTCATAAGATGTTTTACCTTTCAGTGTAATTAAAAAAAATTTTGCTTTTCAGATTGCATTATGAACAAAGTCGTGTTCTTATGAGTCATTGTTTTGTTTTGCTTATATTTAAAATATTTATTCTGAACATATATTTTTAGATTTTCTGAAGTAAACCGCAGAGCACTTGACCACATTTAGTCAACTGAAGAGAATCAGAAGAGGCTGTGCAATTTATACATACACTATTGTAAACATTTGAGACCAGATCCTCAAAGGTATTGAGGTATCTAACAGCCTTTGATTTCAACAGAGGTGCAGGCTCCTAAACAGAAGTGAGGTTTCTGGGAAAATACATTGACCTTGACTTAAAAAATGGATTAATAAATTAAAATGTTAATGTTATTTTGTTAAGATCGGTACACTGATCTCTATGCAGATATGTTACATATTCTTTAAAATATTTGCTGTTTCCAAAGCATGAAAAGCTTCTGCAAATTTTAATATCTGCATATGTGTTTCTGTTTGTATTTAGGAAACTACGGTGAAAGTGGAATGGAAGCTTTCAAAGATATGGCGGCAAAGGAAGGGATCTGCATTGCACATTCCTACAAGATCTATAGCAATGCTGGTGAACAGAGCTTTGACAAGCTGCTGCGAAAGCTTCGAAGCCACCTGCCCAAGGCAAGAGTAGTTGCCTGCTTCTGTGAAGGCATGACTGTGAGAGGACTCTTAATGGCTATGAGGCGCCTGGGACTCGCTGGAGAGTTTTTGCTGCTGGGCAGGTGAGTAATACCATGCAATTATAGCCAGCCTCTTTACCGAGTAGGGTAAAAAAAGTAAGACAGTCCAGTCAAACATATGTAAAACATACTCGTGGTCTCTCCTATACACGTGCGTATCTAAGAGATAGAAAGTAGTGTCAGCCATGTCATAGTGGTACATACTCTACAAACACATGCATCATTCTCATGACACGCCAGGCAAACAGAAGCCTGCTTGGCCAGTCTTAATAGCGTTGTGTAAGGGAAGGCTGACACAAAACCATTTGATTTGTATCATCCATTTTGTTCACTGCAGTTTAAAATGCATCATGTACATATACGGCCTGAAGCTATGCCTCATTTGAGTAAAACTGTGTTAAGGATTGCTGATGTGGCCTCTGGGTGGACATGAAATAGACCTTCCCAAAACATAGTTTGTTAACCATCATCTTTTCTTCCTGAGCCAATGTGCTGACATGCACATACTGTCCTAAAAGCAATTTATAGGTAATCCTTTCTCTTACGTGGAGCTCAATATCAGTGGTTCCTTCCCTAACCAGCAAAGGGAGAAAGGAAAACTCACTTAGATGTGTTCACCAAGCAGAAAAAGGGCTAGTAAACAGAGAAGTAAAAGACACTGATGTAAACCTACTGGGGTCTTTATAAAACAGCACATGCCAAGAGTCAGCTAACGTGGCCTACTGCCTTTCCAGTGCATTATTAGAAGGATGACCTGATGCTGGCCCAAGAATGAACTGTACAGGAACACAAATAAAACAGTGTCAGTGAAACCAGCTGTCCTGGTGAGACCCTCAGGGAAACATGTAAGGACTGCAGCTCTGCCCAGCTGTCTTGGAAACTGGGATGCTGAGACTGCCCCACTGGTAGGACATCAGCCTTTATTCCCAGTCTGCACTACTGCACACAGCTGCCCTTCCCCCTTGGGCAAAGGGGAAAGCAAACAGGCAACAACAGGGACTCCTGCCTCTGCCCTTACTCTTTGGCATCAGCCTACATGTTGGCGACTTCAGATCTGAATTTTTTAATTATTTCTCTGTCTTATGGCAACTGTGTCCGCCCTTCCTTTCAAATACATTTTATCTGTAGGTTCTTCCATGGATTATCTTGGTCCTTTTCTGGACTGACACCTAAAGGGACCACAGTCCTCAGGGTAAGATTCACCTAAACGTATTTAGATGTCTACAGTTTAGATACTTCCATGCGGGTTAGTCATCACAGTTCCCTCTATAGTTAATGGAGAAAAATAGGACCTTCTTAGGTCCCTTGTTTGTAATGTGGACATTTCAAGTATCTCAGAGAAATCACGTTCTAGAAAAGGGCTTGTACAAAGACTCTCTTGATGACTAGCTTTGGTGGAAAAGCCTACTTGCTAGTTTTTTAGAGTAAAGCAGAGCAAATGCCACTTCCACTATCTCTACCTGAATCTGGTGCCACATGTCCTTTGCTGTCTTCTTTTTCCTAAACACAAGAAGTTACCAATTCTCTGTGGCAGGACCCAAATTTAGAAGCACATAAGCATTGTTTTAAAAATTATGTTGGCCCTTAACTCCTCCAGACTCCAAACCATACTTAATTTTCTATGGGATTTGTTTATGTACAACAGTGCTAAACTTAGCCCTCTGAGATGCTTTTATAAATAAGGACTTCAGGAACTGGTGACTGTGAATAAGAATACAGCTTATCTCTTCAAAAAAGTAAGGTCTAGAGAAAACTGGTTTTGAGTTTTTTCAGTGAAAAATACCTGTTCTTAGCTGCAGTGGGAGATGTCACACCTAATTATAAGAAAGTTGTCATTCAATAGATGACTTTCATTCAGTAAATTGAAAATGATAGTTTCTCTCAGAATTCTAAACAGTAAACTGTTTGAAGTTAAAACAAAAATCCTTAATTCTACCGGACCAATTTATGAGTGTCCATGCCTGTGGCAGTACTACAAAATTTATTTGTGAAAACTGTAGCATGAACTGGAAGTGTTTACAAAGAAGAAAAAAGAGAAGT